TCACGAACAACCCCATATTTTTAAAATAATTTTTCGAGGCTCCACGCGCCGGTGAGTGCACGGCCCTACACGCCCCCACGCACGGCCAAAACTGACGGATTCCCTAACCGCCGTTAGGGAATATTCCGTGAAAACTAACAGATTCCATTAAAACTAACCTGACACCGTTAAGAATATTCTGTTAACTTAATGGAATATTCTCTTGTCTTCTCTGGCACTCCTCCGGTACTGTCGCCATCGCCAGAAAACTGGAAAATTTTCAAATCTTAATATCTCACTCGTTTCTTCACCAAATTTCATGAAACCAGTACCAAATTGAAGATCTTAACTTGTAGAACATTTCCTTACTTGTTTAAAACCCCAAAGATCACGAGATGTCGTCGGAGAAATTCAAGAAAAATCGGCCAAACTTGCAACTCACGATCCCGACGTCCAATTCCACCCAACAAACCACCCCGAGCTTCCTAAGGACCTCACTAAGCTTCCTAAAAGCTTCAAATTCCTTGAAAGTCAATAATTCATGTGTGCATGAATAGTGACCAAATCGGAGATTCCTGGTTCGACTTGAAATCGAAGGATTCCTTACCTAAATTTGGTATGGCTGAACTCGTATGATCCTCACGAACACAAAGGTACCATTTTCCACTTTGATCCGTCACGTTTGCATGGGTTTTGAACCTCGTCCGTACAAGTGAGAAAGGGAGAGAGAGAGAGAGAGAGAGAGAGAGAGAAGGAGTTTGAGACAGAGAGAGATACACGGGAGAAGATGATGTGGATGTGGGTGTGTGTGGTCCAGGTGCAACCAACAAAACCACAAAACAATCATTCCAAAATGACAAATAACTACCAAGGGCAAAATCATCATTTCACACCTACGATACAAATAATTCGAGACGAGCTGTCACAAATATTACTCAAGTTTAAAATCTCTTTTCTTAACTTTCAATTTTAAGTATTTAATTAGAAATTGTTTCTACATAAATTATCAAAATAGTCCTTGAGGAGAACGACCTTGCATGAGCATCTATACTACAACATCCTTGTATTCTTGCAAGTATTTCATGTGATTTTGACCCTATCTGCATAAATGTTAAAAATCCTATCAGCTAGCCCTATTAGGAGAATGGGGACCGGCCATATGAGGTATTTTTTGGTGTTAATTACAATCAATTAGCTAATTAATAAATCAATTATTTAGCTAATTAATATAATTTGAAAGAAATAATTTGGGAGTTACCTTGTGGGGAGGATTTGATGAGGATGTATGAAATAGGTTTTGAATAAATACCTATTTTAATCACTTTTGACCTTGATTGAGTGATGAATGTCCACTGCTCGCGCGTAGAAGCTTTGGGGGTAATTTTGTCTTTTTTTACCCTAGAATCCACGTGTCGCCTCCATATTTTTCTCAATTATTTTTGGCTCTATAGACACGGTATATTGATATGTCCCTTGATCACTCAAGTCACTTTGACATATTACAACCATGTGAGGAACCCTCAACAACCCCACTTAATCATCTAGAGATCAATTTACCACCAGTAAGAAGAAATCCCTTTAGGACACGTAAGCCTCCTCCAAAGTTGTTGGATTATGTCACGTATGCAACAAGGCATCCTATCACCGATTGCCATCCATATCACCACTGCTCACCTTCTCATGCAACCTTTCTCTGTTCTCTTTCAAATCACTATGAGCCTAGGACATTTCAGGAAGCTAATCTTCATTCTGAAAGGAAGCTATGCACAAAGAGTTACGTGCACTGAATGACAATAATACCTGGAATGTTATTCAACTTCCTCGTGGGAAGAAAGCAGTGGGCAGTAGGGGGTTTTCAAGCTCAAATTTCATTCTGCCGGATCTATTGAAAGACATAAAACATGATTGGTGGCTTGAAGTTTTACTTAAATGTACATGATAGATTACAAAGAGACCTTTGCACCCGTGCTAAGATGAACACAGTTCGAGTTTTTCTTTTCGTGGCAGTTAACCAAGGCTGGTCATTATATCCAATGGACATAAAAAACGCCTTCTTGCATGGGGAACTTGAAGAAGAAGTCTATATGCAATTGCCTCAAGGACACTTTCAACGCTCTAACAATGGCCTTGTGTGTAAGCTTTAAAAAGTCATTTATGGCTTGAAGTAGTGCCCTCGGGCATGGTATGCAAAATTAAGTTCAGTTTTGGAAGAGGTAGGGTTCTCCTGAAGTAATGCATACTTGTCATTATTTATTCGAATTGGTTCAGCGGAAAAATTAATGGTGTTAGTTGATGTTGATCTTATCATTACTAGTGATAATATGGATGGGATTACCTCTCTCAAACGATCACTCCATCAAAGGTTTGCTATGAAAGATCTTGGTAAGTTGAAATACTTTCTTGGTTTTGAGATGGCAACAATACACAAGGGGTTGTTTTTTATCGCATGAAGTACGTGTTGGATCTTCTTCAAAAAGCCAAGATACTTGATTGCAAGGTAGTCAATACCCCATTGGATTGCAAGTTAAAGATGGACATGGAAGGTGAATCTCTCACTCATGTAAGCTATTATCAACGGTTGGTTGGCAAACTCATTTACCTCACTATTACACAACCCTATATCACATACGCGGTGAGTCTTGTTAGTTAATTCATGCATGCACCCACTGTTAAAGATCTTTTTGTTATTAAACAGATATTGCATTATCTCAAGGGTTCCATTGGTCATGGTATTCTCATGCGCAATAAACATTCCACCAAGATATTTGGCTACGCAGATGCTGACTATGCAGGAAATGCTTTTGACCGGAAATCTACACAACGTAATGTACATTTGTGGGGGAAATATTGTCACTTGGAAGAGTAAAAAACAGCAGGTTATCGCTTGATCGAGTGCCGAAGCAGAATATCAAGCCATGGCTTCTACTGTGTGTGAACTCATTTGGCTCAAGGGTTTTTCTATCAGATTTGGGATTTTCTAGCAATGTGAACCAATGTCCCTTATGTGTGATAACCAAGCTGCCATGCATATTGCAGCTAATCTTGTGTTCCATGAACAAACAAAACATATTGAGGTAGATTTTCATTACATTAGGGCACAAGTTCAGTCTAAAGTTATTCATACAGTCTTCACTCATAGCCATAATCAACTAGCTGATTTATTTACCAAAGCCTTAGCCTCTGTTTCGTTTCAGCATCTACTTGACAAGCTTGGATCCAATCCTTGAAGGGGAGTACTCAACGTGTAAAGATATGATCTCGTAGCATGTAGCCCTTAACGCCTTTCTCAAAACCGATGAATATGCATTCGAGTGATTTTGGTTTGTGTTTGGTTTTCTCATCGCTATTTATAGTTAATAGACCAATGGTTACATGCCTTACAAGTATAGGATTCCTACATCCTTTTAGAATAGGAAAAACTAACTTATTTCCTAATCCTAAACTAATTGGGATTATAGAGTGTGAAAGCTAGAAAATAGGAGGTTAACATGGACTAGTATGTTTAGCCCCTTGGTGGGCTTAGGAGTAAGAATTGAACAAACAAAATTTAAGTGGTTCACCCCTAAATATAGCGCTACATTCACTATGGAACTTATATATATTGCATAAAGGTTACAAATAGCGCTCAGATTAATGTAGTCCCTTTTCTCTCCGACTTATCAAAAGTACACATCCTCCTTATATAGGCCATTTGCGAGCCCCAAGTCTCTAGCTCGAGTCTTTCACTGCTCTCGCACTTGATGCACCAAGTATGTAGACATGACTTGCTAGCTGCCCCCTCTATTCTTTAGTCGATACATGGTGACAAAGTAACATTTGTTCAGGTCCAGTTGCATGTTTCCTTGAGACAATGCATACCGAGCACCTTGCTTGCTCGGCCCTAGAATTTGTGGGAAGCCACACTGATGAGTCCAAATTACAACCTATATATTATTTAAGGGTCGAAAACGGCATTGTGTTAACTCAAAGAAAAACACACTTCCCAATTTATACGGGGAACAACCTGTGTGAAAAACTAAACCTATTTGACCTTGGTATTTTGACAAGTCAAATCAGAACACATAAAACATTCATGATTAGTGTTTGATTTTAGCAAAAAAAATGTTAACAATGAATTCATGTGTCATTTCAATGCATTGTTTTTGTTTGTAGGGACAGAAGATCAAAAGAATTAATTTTTTTTCTAATATAATATTTCCGTCTTAAAGAGATGAAATTTATCCATCGCCATGCTGCCTAAAAAAATATAAGTTAATGCGGTAACCAAATTTCCCTGGCTTTCCAGAGGGGAGGCTACATGTACTCAAGCAAGTCAAGACGACATAAATATCTTTAGGGTTTAACCAGCATTTAACTGTCACGCGGAATGAGAGTTAGTGTTAAGGAAATGTCTGTGTAAATCACGCCCGGCAGAGGTGACACCTCCGCAGGCCAGCGCTCACACAACACCTCACGTGATGGACTCATGTAAAACAATGCACTAAGCCGAACTGAGCAGAGCAGAAAGGGTCAGTTGGCTATGCAAAGCCCAAAGAAGAATCTCGCGGGCAAATGAGTTTAGCCCAAAAGGGACAAGATCTAGCGGGGATATCCATCCCTACAATCATGGCCTAGACATGAACGATGTTGTTAGCCAGGAGTCATTCTTGATGACATGGAAGCACATAATAAATCATCAATTGTTTGGCTGCACACAAACGAGAGGACATCTTACCAAGTTGTTTGAAATTGTTTACATCCCTAAGTCCCAAGTCCCTAATTTCCTAGTCCCCAAGTCCCAAAGTCCCAAAGTCCCTATGTCCCTATGTCCCTAAGTCCCTAAGTCCCTAGGTCCCTAGCCAACTAATTAATAGACTCAGACCACCAACACCTCTACTAGAATCATAAGCTCCTTCAAAATTCATTTTCCAATTCATACCCTTCAGGAATCAGGACACCAATCAGGAGGAACAAACTTGTTTACAAAATTGTTATTAATTGCATAGAAAATGATCCTACCTCGAGCCAGACAAACAGTACAGGCATAGAATCAACACTGCATAATCAAGACACCTACACTCAGATAAAAAATTCGAATCGTCTTTGATGCATATCTACACGGGAAACAACTATATAGCTGATAATCTTGCTAGTTTACTTATCCTGCTTTAAGCAAGTTTTCTCTGTTTTTGGACCTTGGGCAAGGAAAAAAACACACTACTCAAAGCGAAAACCCTTTATCTCCCATTATCTGACCACGCCACATCGAAATGGTACAGAAAATACTGCCTGAACAATAGCTAAACTGATGTTGCAATACACGTTCCAAGAATATAATATATATATATATATATATATATATATCTAACCACATTTCACCAAAAACACATATACCAGTTGTTTCATTCACCTACAGCAACAGCATTCATCAATCACAGAGACCGATCACAAACCACTGAAAGAACAGGTTACATCTTCGGTTAGATCATTCCACCTATCACACAACACCAAACAGAAGCGTAAGCAAAAACACAGCATCAAATTCATACACATGTGAAACAACTAATAATGCTTTATTGCTTACTCTTAGTCATTCCACGCAAATTCTCATTTTCTCTCCCGTAAGCTTCTCCCCCTTCTATAATCAATTTCTGCATCTGAGCTAGATTGACCCATCTGATACTTTCTGCTCAATTTAGACGACCCCATCTTTGAAAAAATGTCCTCTTCATCGGCCACAATACGAATTCCACGTGTACCTGATCGAGAGACGTCACTAGACTGCCTCCATGATTTGTGATCTGAGTCATACAAGAAAGGAACATTACTATCTAACAATAAAGGCGGAACCAGATGGGGAAGAAAGGGGAAAGAGAGACTTCAAGTAAGATGAAACACTCATTCATCCCACAGAACTCTCCCTGATTACTTTTCTCTGTCTGCCCTTGACAATTTTCTTCCATTTTAAAAGCACACATGACAGCAAAAGCCCTTATTGGAGAAATTTGCAAAATGAAGAGTGTAAATGTTAGTTGCCTTGCCTCTAAAATTTCGATAAACCAGTGTGAAAGGCACTGACTGCATAAATTCCAGTTCTTTTGGCGAAAATGAAATCAATCGATGAAGAAGACTTAATTAAATGTGCATGAATGAAGCTGTCAGAGATGTACTAGAATACATTTTAATGAGATTAGTACTTCATCAGGTTGCTAAGAAAACACGGATAAATCAGAGGCTTGTGAATAAGTAAGGTTCAAGAAGCTGCTCCAGCAGTTGAACAATGACTTTTCTAAATTGAGAACTTTATTAATTAATTTATTTTTTACTTAATACCTGTTATGATTTTCAAAAACTAATGAAAAATAGAGAAATTTAGATAAAGTTATGACAGTTCACCTTCGGATCCAGTACACGATATGGCCAAGTCACAATGTCCACCGTCATCAAGATCTGGTTCTGATTTAAGACTATCCTGACTCTGCAAGTTTGTTTTTGTCTTATGTCCTTTTAGTCCTTCATTGACAGATGTCGGTTCCATACTTTCTTCGGAAGGCAATTTATGCGAGGGGAAAGGTGTCATGGTAAACGAGTCCTCCATTACATCAGAAATCTCCACATATTGTGTTGTGGTGATAATTTCATCAGCACTAAACCCAAAGGATGCTCTATACGCTTCTATTTCTTCCACATCTTGCTTGGGGCTTCTACTGTGTCTGCTCTGACTTCCATTCCCACCAGTAGTGTAAACATCTGAATCCTTGGACACACTTAACCTTCCAACAGCAAGAGGAAATGGTGGATTATCCAGATAAAACTGTGCAAATGTAGCAGGACAAAAGAAATTTGAGTCTTGAGATGACACAGAGGCTCCAACTGGGTCATGTCCAAACATCCTTGCAGAACCACGCCTTGGATAGGTGCCATTTTGGGAAGAAGCTGATGGATCCCAATGTGAGGGGAAATCACGCTCAGGAAAAGATGACGATGAGCAATTGTTTGATGCCCTTGAAATTGGTGATCTGAGACTACTAGCAGGACTTCCAGGATAGAGGGAATATGTTGAATGAAGATCATTTGCAGCAATGTAATTGGTCTTCTCAGTACTTTTAAGGTCTACTGAAGATGAGAGGAAATGAGCATACGGTACATCTGGGGAAGATGGAGTAGTTAAGTGAGCCAACTCTGGTGGGGGAGTGAGAGGGGCTGTGGACGGCTCAGTTGTGAAGGTTGAGAAAACAGGAGGAGAGACAAGTTGTGTTTCGTTGGCATATGGCCCGGTGGCATACATGGTGGATGAAGGACCTCCAGGTGAGTTGGCAGACAAGAAACAACTAGGAGACTGCGCTGTTGAAGGAAGGGCTGAATTTGTAAATGATGCTGGAGAAGAAGGCGGAGCTAGAAGAGAAGGAGCTAGCGACGTTGTTTGGTTGGCAAGCCCAACTGTTTGGGGTCCATTTGGCTGATTTGCTGATGCATTGCCTTCAGGAATGCGAGTTGCAGGCACTATGCGCTTTCCTCCTTTTTGTGAGGGAAAGCAAGAGAATGCACCCCAACATCCTCCCCATCTCTTTCTCTGTCGATACAAATGGGCATTATCGGTTAGATTGGAAATTGATCTCAAAGCAAACTCAGAAACCATTCTGGATGTTATGCATCCGTTCTGTTTAACTACACAAAGCAACCAACATATAAATGCATAAGGAAAATCAAATGTAAGGCCCAAAGGGGAGTATAATGCATTCGATAGATTGTGATCCAAGCAACAATTTATTGGCAAAATTATTTAGAAATTGATGAATGACAACAGTCAGATAAATTAATCAACAATCAGAAATTGGGAGGACGCAGTAGCATCATATGAGAGATAATGACAAAGACGCAGCTAGATAAAATTGGGTATGATGTTGTAACTGGAAAGTGATCGGCGAGCAAGAAACATGCCCACCCTGAATTATATTTTACTGAAGCAGATCTGTCCACACGATGCAAATCAAGTCACGTCATCCCCAGATCTGACTGAAACCCACGAAACAAAACCCAAACATTGCAAAAATGGCCCCAGATCTGACAGTAACACTCTCCTCTCCTCCCCTCACTCACCCATTACCAGCAACACACTATATATCTATTCTCTCTTAATCAAAGAGCAGAGTAACAACATAGAGTCTAGAGAGAGAAAGAGGTAATAGGGGGAGGGAGGGAGAGAGAGAGAAGCATTACCCGCTCCTGCTGAGGGAATCTATTCTGCTCGGAGCCCATTAGAGCAGTGTGTTTTGAGCTCCTTCAACCACAAGCTCACTACTCTCGCTACTCCAGCATTCCTTTTGCCAGCAAACCAGGAGCAGCAGACGCCGGTGACTGCCACCAGGCACCACCCACCACCCAACACCACTGCTTCCGTTTGTTTCACTCTCACTCTCACTCTAAAGTCACCAATTTCTTGTCGCTTTAAAATTGGACAGGCTAAAACGATGAAATCTAAAGTAATCGATCAAGGATGCGATCCCATTCCCATTCTCATTGACATTCCCCTTGCCATTCCAAGGATGTAGAATTGTAAATGGAAAATGGAAGAAAAGGGGAGAATTGCAGTGCAGATCAAAGACAGGGAAAGACAAAAGCGAAAGGGAAAGCAAAGATCCAAGTGAAGTGATAGGGAAAGAGAAAGACGACTGAGACTGCCTGCGTGTCCTTGATAATTCACACCGCTCATCTTTTCTTTTCTGTTTTCTTTTTTTATTTTATAATATATGCCCACAAAATAATAATTAATAATTAATAATATTAATAAAAACAATACGGTGCGTTTCAGTTTACCATGAGACAAGGAGGGCGAACCGTGAAAGCCTGGCCTTGGACCGGGATACGACAATGAGGGAATTACAAGACAAGAATGGCATGACGGAAAGAGATGAACGCCATTGAAGTTAGAGCTGCTGCTTAATTATAATTCTTTTTATTTTATTCTTATTTTGCCAACCTGCTACTGCGCTTTGAAATGTCGAAATGAAAATTGGGAAAAGAATCCGCAACATCGCCGGATCTTCTTTGCTAGGATTTCAAAAATTTGTAAGTTGTATCTGTGTATCGTATATTGTACGGGAAAAAAAATATTTAAATATTTTTATTTTAAATTAAATATAAACAGTACTTGATAAAAAATAATTGCACAATATACGATGAACGAACACGATTCACGGATACCTAGGATCTTCAAGATCCGGAGAGGATCCTATTGGGAAAAATGGACCCTACGTACACTGTCTGTAACAGTGATGCCAGAAATGGGTGTGGGGGGTTTTGATGCCAAGTATAGTTGCACAATGTATAGGGGCCGTTCGGTTAAATAGGCATACAAAACATATAATTCGCCACAATATACAGAACGACGCAAACAAAGAACTTAATGCCGAATATTTACGTCATTTGAATGATGTTATATTGTCGAGTCGTATTGATATTAGATTTTGACAGTTGGACACTAAATTAATTATATCTACCAAATATTATTGACATACCAACAAGTAGCGTAATTTTTTTTGTAAATGTGCCGATGAATATTAAGATTGTGATGACATTTGACAAAAATGACATTAAACGAGACTGAGCTTTTTGCCAAAAAAAAAAAATGAGACTAAGCTTATTCATATGATGAAAACGATAATAGATGGAATCCTGTGCATATGTGGTAACCATTTTCATGGTTGTAGCTAGGCACACCCGAATAACTCTACGCTTATGTGAAATTCGTTTCCTATCCTATCTCCATTGACTAAAATAAAATGTTTAGGGATGAAATCTTCATTAACAGCTATCCTCCAATCCATCCAATTTTAGAGAAGGGAGAGGTGACTAAAATAAAATGTGTTGGGATGGATGAAGTCTTCATTAACAGCAATCGAGATACTGCGAGTAAAACATAAGTAATCATATCCTCCATTATATACAAAGCAAAACATGACAATCCTATCCTAACCTCATGTATATAGTATAGTTTTTTTGTTTTCTTCTTACCGCCGATTAATGTACAAAGAAAAACACGCCTAAATATCAAATAATCAAATCACCACATAAAATAAATCAACGGTTTTGCATGCCAATCGTCAGTTGCCACAATTTTAAATAGCATAAATGTTTGTCGCGCAACCCCAACCCCCCATATTCACTCAAAACTCATCAAATTGGGGCATCTCTCTTATCGTATAAGAATAACAGACTTATTTTTTTGAGTAAATTACACAGAACTACCTCAACTATTGGTCATTAACAGTTTCATACCTCGTCTTTAAAAAGTTTCAATGTCATACCTCATTTACAAATTTGTTACAATTTCATATCTTCCGTTAATTGTCTGTCAATTTCTCCGTTAAAATGCTAACGTGGCAAGTGACGGGATCCATTTTCTATTAAAAAATTAATTAATTAAATATTTAAAAATTAAAAAATAAAATAAAATCATTTTTTGTTTGGCATGGGGACCCACCCCCTTCTCTCACCCTTTCTTCCCCGGCCCCCTTATCCCACCCAAAACCCAAATCCCTTCCCTGCAACCCCATACCCCTTCCCCACCCATGCCAACATCTCCACCCGCCACCACCTTCTCCTCCCCCGACCCCGATCCACGCCAACATCTCTCCCCTCGACCCACCCCTTCCTTCTCTTCTTCTTCTTCTTTTTTTATTCTTCCTCATCCACTCGTGTCCCCCCTCCCAACACCTCCAACCTTCCTTCACCACCCCACCGTCACCCTCTCTTCCTCCATCTCCACCTCCCTCCATCTCACCCATAAATCCCCCTTCCCCTCCGTTAATCTGCACCCGGATGCACGAAACGAGGACGTCGACCCGAACCTAGACGAGGTGTTTGTCGGGTCAGGCATGTTCAAGAGTGACAACTCGACGAAGCAGGCAAGGGCGATTGTGTTGGCTGTGACACACTCTCGGGACCTGGATGTGCTGGTAGAGGTGAGTTGCAAATTAGGGGAGGCGATGGTGGGGTTTAACAGACTATTTGGATGGATTAGTGGGTTTAAGGGACTGTTTGGGTGGATTGTTGATGTCGTGTTCCTCGTCGGCGTGGATATGGGGAAGAGAGGAGGGATAGTGGAGGACGAGTGGGTCCCCCGTTTAAATTTTTTTTTTTTAATAAAGAGTGGTTCCTGCTTAAGACACGCTAGCATTTAACAGAGAATTAACAGACAAATTGACGGATGACATTGCAACAAATTCGTAGATACGGTATGACATTGAAACTTTTTAAAGACGAGGTATAAAACTGTTAATGACCCAATAATTGAGGTAGTTCTGTGTAATTTACCCTATTTTTTTTCATTCTCAATGTTTCTTGGTCTTCTATCTTATCTTTTAGCCGCCGATTTCCTCAGGATGGAAACCTGCACGGGGGGAATCCACAAGGTGCCTCCCAGGCGGATCGAATCACTCTCTCTTCCAACCTTTCTGACGGTGGCATGAGCTACCATGTTATCCGGTCAGATGGCTCAGTCCCTGGCTTTCGTTAGACTTCATTAGCTTTCATTAGATAACTTACGACCCGGAAAGAAAGCACTTAATAGAATATATCTCCTAAGTCCTATCTTTCGAAATTAATCAATCAATGAATTCAATCAAAAGCTTACGTGACAATGCGTTGATGCTTACGCTATATGCCGTCTATAATTTCTGCCACAGAAACATTGGGCTTTGGACAAGAAAAAACACAAATCAAATCCGGATAGTAACATGATACATAAATATGTGGCCACAGCAAATATGTTCAACAAAGTAAAACCAATGAAATCGGCTTGCTGGCGGTAAACAAAGGCTACTTACAAAATATGATACTCCAAAGTAATGTATCAAGCAAATAGCTCAAGAGATTAGTACATACAATATCTGCGGTGGGATTTTCATTAGCAGCAACAGCACCTTAATAAGTTTTGAGCCATCAAAGAAACCAAGCAATCCCCAACTCTCAAGTATATAGTCTCAGGCGTGTTGATATGGGTTCCCGACACAAAGGGCACGATACAAGACTAAGCCCGCAATCCTTGCATGTCTTAAACCAACAAAAAGAAAAGACAAAAAAAATACACAGTAAATAATTGCAGGCAACGTTCACTTTAATAACATATAACTATACATCACTATACATTAAGCACAATAAAAACTCCATCACTAAATTCAAAATGCTTCCATAGCAACACTTACCGTATGACCACATCCGAAAGCCATATCCCTTGGATTTGTCAGGCAAATGGGACAGACCTTGAGCATGAACACGTTTCAAACTATAAGGTCACTTGAACCAACGTTTGGGCTAGAAATAGTAGTAGAAACATGAGGGGAAGGAGAAAGAAATACCGGTTCCTCGGGAGCTGTAGGAGCTGTGGGCTTGACTTGCTGAATGTTCACCATGGGTGGGATTGAATTAACTGCAATATCATGATTCATCACCTCACGTGGAGGTGGAAGTGCCCTTGTACTAGGACCAGCTACAGGTTCGCGACTGTTTTAAGTAGAAAGAGTCAAACATCTGCAAATCCATGAACTGAAATCACGCATTTCCTAGAAACTTACACCCAAGTCCGTACCTGACTAAATGAAGCCTTTGGGTGGCTCTGTACTGAAATGGAATTTCCATGAGGGCAGCAAGTGCAAACGCTGCTTCCTTCTTTGATGCATTTGTGTTCTCTGACATGATTTTGGTGAAGTTGACGAACTGTAGAAAGAAAACATGTAAGGAGGTTGACATAATGTACCATCTGCTCTCCAAATAAGACCACTCTATCGATCTCATCCACTTCAAAATTGGTACTAAGAAGGTTTGCTTGACTTACTATGTATGTAGCAGAACAATAAATTTCTGGTGTCTGGTTTCCCTCAGTGAACTTTCAATTTATTTTGGTATTGCAGAATCCAATCCAATACTACTGGGGTACAGTCGCAATACCTTTTTATTTTTTATTTTTGAAGAAGAAAATACAGTCGCAATATGTACTTTTACTAGTAACACTTTAATTATCAACTTCAACTGAATCTTTAAGGATTTCGATTTTATGGAAGTAAAAGGACAAAAAAAAAAGCAAGTTGATATATCAACTAACTACTAAATATCACAACAAAAATACCTGATTTGAAATATTTATTTAACCCCATGTCCTATGATTAATAACCATGTTTTCAAGATTAGCCACTTCAACATGTCAATGTTTTCAAGATTAGCCACTTCAATATGTCCTTGTATCACAGCATATTTCATGCCTTTATCCATGCTTCATAGAGCAATCCCAATAAAAGAAAAAAAATTATGTTTCATTACTTGTAGACAGAATCCATTTTAAATTATCAACAAATCAGAACACATCTTAAGAAGCCACAGGTATGTCAAACATTGATATATATTAAAAAAAAAAAAAAACAGTTTAAAACAGGGACGATCAGGGTCCAACCTACAGAAGGAAACCAAAATCCAATTTTGGTGCCAGGCATTACTCAATACCTGGAAGTTGTCAAATGAGCGCTGTGGAATATAATCATCAAATTGCTGCATTGCATCCCATGGTCCATCCCCAACTCCAACCAAGATAATTGAGAGAGAATATTGACTGTTGAAGGATTCTGGTGGTCAACACTAGAAGAAAAACAGGCGTACTACCCAAGATGAAGAATATGTTTCTTTACCTAGCGGCAACAATGGAATTTATAGTCGCTTGTTCTTGTGGACTGAATCTTCCAGGAGGAGTATCAGGGCTCCTAGTAACCTGTGTCAAAATAGAGGCATTCCAAAACCATAAGTAGAATATAAAATAGAAAAAGCAAATGAACCTACGATACAGAAGAAAAAGAAATGCATCGAACATGTTTCATCAACCTGTCCATCTGCAATAATGACAAGAACGTGGTATTGCCCGTTGCCTTTTTCAACAATGTCAATTGCCGCATCAATTATGGGGGCAAATGAGGTCGGACCTGAGAATAAGTAAACAAAAATAACACATCCAGTGTATGCACCACATTGGAATAAGAATAGTTGAGCCTAAGGTGACTATAGCTATTGAGATAAACAGACAATCATGATCAGGTATATGGACTCAAGCTGGCTTACTATCGTACTCAAGTAAAGCTATAGTGTGGCAGTAATTATCTTGTACCAAAAGGATCCACTAAAATGCTAAAGGGCAGCATAAACAGAATTATTTAACAAACTTGAAGCTCAAATGACATCACAAACTAAGAAATATGGCAAGACTCAAGAGAGTAATATAATCAGTGAACTAACACAATACCAATCTCGTTCACAGCTGTTAAAGGAGATAATCACATATGGTGAGCTACAACAATGGTTAAAGATCCGAACATAGCTAGATAAACAGATAATCGAGCATGCCAAGACGTTGTTGGGATCATTCTAACAAGAACGTGAAAAAATTTCAAAATACTCAAAACACTTGGCATGGTTTGAACTATAGTTAGCTAGATCTTGGCATATTCCGGGCCCCTTTTTTAATCAGTTAATTTCAAGGGAGTTGTGCACCTTTAAATTCAATCTAAGAAACAACCGATCCGTAATCCACTTTTTTGTTGTTGGCTAAGCAAAATTACGATGTAAGTCAGTCAACCTAATACATGAAAATCATTATTCGTAATTAAAACTAAGGAAGAATAAATAAAAGGCAATGATCAATAGCCTGCAACTTTTTGGACCTTTGTGACAGTAAAGGCCACTTTAGCAGCAGTGAACGTAACCTCCCCCCATCTATGAGCTGGAGGTTGAGCTTGTTGGCAGGAGTAGTATAGTTGACTAACATTTTAGTAAAGTTGTCAAAGTATTGGCAAGTTCCTGTGATTGCTTGAACTACTAATTCAATTTCTTATGAATAAAGCATTAGATGATTTCTCCAGATTTTCTACAGAGGTCAAGATCCAGAATCAATGGGATTCATGAGAGCGAGAGAGAGAGGGAGAGAATTTTAGCTAATGAAACTCTACGAGACAGACCCCAAAATAAAAACAAAACTATACACACAATAAAGGAATATAAATTATGCCACCTTGCAGAAGGAAATAGCATAAACAATAAGGAAATTTTGAAGAACCTGACAACTTTAGAAAGGGAACAATCTCCCTATATCGTGCAAGAGCTTCCTCGAAACCATGACAATATCGACCCTCAGGATAGAAACTGAACACGCATTGATCATGCGTTGATGCTAAACAAGAAGGTAATATCAGACGATTTTCAGCTGGAAAATCACAAGGTACTTTCAACCAAAGTAAAGTTGTGGTTCAAAACTAACCCTCGCCGAATCCAAAACAAGGTATTAGATTATCTTCATCAAATGGAGATAATGTACGGCCAATTATTGAGATCGCGTGCTCGTAAGGATTAGATGTGCTACCAATTGCATGAAGGCTTTTCCTATGGAATGAATATCTTCCTGCAAATCATTGAAAGGTGACTTTTATCTCCATCCAGAACTCATGTAAAGAAGCTGATCTAATAGGAAAATTACCTGTCCATTCATTGCTCTTTGTGAAGTCGACACCAAGTATTAAATTTGATGATTCAAGGCCAGCTTCTCTCAATGCCGAAATAACCTGGGAATATAAATGCTTCTGGTTACTAAACATGATTGCTCGAATAATAACAGATAGTGATAAATTATTTGACCCTAATGGCACTTGCAAAAGGCAGTTAAGATACGACGGCCATACATCTTTTGCAGTTTAATGTCATCTGTACAATTTTGTTGAAAATGGCGTATCATAAATGTTCTTTCATTCTTCTTACCATAGTGAAAAGTGAAAAAGAAGCTTATACTGGTCCGACAAAACTGAAATGTAAACACTTTAAATGGAAAAGTGAAAAAAGAAGCTTATACTGGTCCGATAAAAGAATTCTTGGGATGCTAATCTTGTAGGGGGGGGGAAAAAAAAAAAAAAAAAAAAAAGTCAGCGGTTAAACCTGATCCAAAGAGTTAAAGTTATCGGCTATGTGTGTGGATTGTCGCTTTGGTGGATGATTAGAACCCATTGAAGTCCCTGCATAGGAAGGCGGTTCATGCACAGAGCCGTCCTGAGAAGCATCATCATATGTTGATTCCCCATTCCCCATTTCCCTGTTTCAAAAAATGAAACAGAAAAAAAGAGAAGAGTACTAGAATCAGTGTATGGGGGACTCGTAAGACTGAACTCCAGAATCCAGATCAAATTCTTAGTTGATGGAATACAAAAAACAATAAATTCTTAGTATTCAACCAAATTCTACCGACCAACTAATTAAGAATAATCAAAATTTGTCCTAAACCAATACACACATAGATGCTAATAAGAAAGGCACAATTGCTCATCCCCAAATATTATTATTGTTGTTGTTAACAACCAAATTAAAAACACAGAAAAAAGAAAAAAAAAAAAAACCAATCGGTCGGACACAGAGAAAGAGAAACCTGTTTGCTTGCTTTTGCTTGCTGTTCTTAATTCAGTTTTCGTGTCTAAATAAAAATAATAATGAATACTAGGGAGAGTTCTTCCCCTGTGCTGGTTAGAGAGAAAAAGTGAGAGCGCTGACGTAGTTTATTCTATTTAAAGAGAAAAAAGAAAAAAAAATAAAAAAAATAAAAAAATAAAGAAATCAATCGCCTCCCCCCTTCTCTGGCTTTAACGGTGAGAGCCGTGAATACTCTGTCTTTGTTTCATTCTTTTATAAAAGAAGCATGCTTAAGATAAAATTGAACGTAACTAATTTTGAAGATGTATATTATAAGCAAAAATTACATATAACATAGGTAGCTAAAAACGATTTATGATATAGGTAGATTATTTAGATTTAGGTGTGGATCTAGAAATAATCTCAAAAATCCACAAGACGATATGCTAATTTTTTTTCTCAAGAAAGACAAAATTGCCCTCATTAAATGCACATGACTCTCAATAGTTCTCACGCTCAGCTCAGCATCTCTAAAGGTCCAAGCAGACAACAACGGCTCAAACTCCCCTGCTCATGGCATGGAAAAGTCAAAGATACTAAAAATTACTAAATCCTAACTTTCATATATTCTCAATTGAAAATCAACTCAATCGAGTAAGGAATCCCTATCATAATAAGTAGAATACTTCCATCATTATCTCAAGATATTTTCTCCTAATTAATATCTTGGGAATATTTTTTCCTCATCCATTCTATGGATGACACACCTTAGCCAAAGGGAAGTCGCCATGTGTAAGTCAAAATCCTAAGCCTATGGTCGGCCACACCCTATAAATACCTTCATCTTCACCAAATTTTGGTAAGCATTGGCTACCCCTAAAATCCCTTAACACTTACTCTTTTCAGAGAAACTAACTTAGGCATTGGAGATCCATGGCCAAACCCCTCACCTCGTGGGCGCATGAGACTTTGGTCTTTGATTAAAAGGGTTGATTGTTTTGTAGGCACAAATTCATCAAGACTAGAGACGGTAGATTTTTGCTACCACAAATTGGTGTTTTCATTGATAGCTTGATTCAAACACTTGAAGAAGACTTTTGCAATTGGTTTTTGGAATTTTCTGTTACATTGAATTTCTCACATGCAGTATCATTTCATTTTTCTTAGAAAAGTTTCTTGATCAGTTCTTGGAGAAAGGATACAATGGTAGAAAATTTCAAAATCACGAGGAATGCCCTACGTTTAAGGATTTGGATCGGAGAACGGAGACCAAGACACAGCTATGCGTCAGCGATCCTCATGGCTTAACACGATGACATGAGGAGCCCTATTGCTACGGAGCACCACCACCACCACCGTGGCCACTGCTCACCAGCCACCACATGGCCACCAAGCAGTAGCCTACACTGCAATTGCAGCCGCAAACTACGGCAGGAGGCCTATGCTGTGTTCCACCCCTAATGGCAATCAATACCTGTCCCAGCAGGTCATAGATTTAACGAGTGTTCTCGCGCAACAAACGGCCTTAGTGAGTAAGGTCTTAGAGCACGTCGAGATGCAAAACCCCCCAAGCGAGGTGTCTAGAAGTAGGTCAAGGGTAGATGATTGTGACTCTTTCCACTAATGTCCTAGCAAATAGCCACTTGACCAGTCGCGAACCGTGCATTCTAACAGCACCCGACCTATGCGTCCACAGTTGGGATCGCACGCCAACGAGTTCCAGACATTCTAGTCGAAGTGTCTACTCACGGCCTGGCTTGCAAGGAGTTCATTTTACCATGCACCAGAGCAGGCAACATGATGGATAGAGGGAAACACAAACGTAGTCTGGCTCGAGTTCAACTAGCAGCCCACACTAAACGTTACTATGAGCATCTCGCTCACTAGCCAAAGATGAACCATGTGCACCGCAACTGCAGCACAGACAAGCAGGAAAAACAAAAGAGTATCATAGACTAGCAGGTCGCACTATTTTAAAAATCCATGCCTAATGCCGCCTAGGTGGTTGGCTACCGCCCCAATTAGTCCTTAGGCATGTCAAAATTAAGAAAGTGCTCCTAGACCCTCTTAGGCCTCCGTCTTGCCAGCCTAAGCACCTGTTTAGCTCGCCTAAACCTGCCTAGACATCACCTAGGTCTCAACTTTCACTTAGATAGAAAATCGATAACTTTCATTTTGCATTTTATTTTTTTAATAAAATGTAAGAGACTTGTTGAATACTTGGGTGAATACTCATTAAATACTTGTTCTCATGTTTTCAATATGTTCTAATACTTTGTAACCTATATATCATTTTATTTTGCAATTTCTGTATACAATTATGTGTTTTAAAGTATAAATAGATACTTATTTATACAATATATAATAAATTTACTTAAATCTGCCTAGTTTGCTTAGGCTTTTGTCTAGGCCCTAGCTCATAGCATAGGCATTAAGCCTTAGCCCGCCGCTCGACTAGCACCTAGCCTCTTTTAGAACCTTGGCATGTCAACACCAGGGGCAATAGAGCCTCCCGCTACCCTAGCAAAGGTAGATTCAAGAGGAAGTAGAAAGGCTCTTAACTGAGTGACTACGTGACTTCTAGTGCATCAAGATGGTGGACCGAGTGCTTCGAAGAGACATAACTGATATGAGTAGATCACAATTCACGGATGAGATTAAGTTGATAGATCCACCTTGTAGGTTCACTATGCCTCACTTCACCCCGTACAAGAGAGACGAAGATCTGGAGACATTTCAAGTACTATCGCAATACCATGATCCTCTGCAGGAACAATGATGCGCTCATGTGCAAGATTTTTACCACAACTCTACAAGGCAAGGCACAAGACTAGTTTCACACCTTACTACCATAGTCAATCCAAAGTTTCAACAAACTTTCTTTAGTTTTCACTAAGGAATATTCGTCTAACCGCTTAATCAAAATAACGTCTGACCACCTTTTCAGCATCGTGAAGGACCCGAAGGAGTTAATTCGCAACTATGTCAAGAGGTTCAAGGTGGAGAAAGCCAAGATTTTTGGTTGTAATAAAGGCATAGCAACAACATCATTTATAAATGGGCTTCCCACCGAGCACCCTTTATTTGGAGAATTAATCATGGGCAATGAACTAACCCTAGCATCTTCTTATGCTTTTGCAGAAAAAGCATGCACTATGGGATAAGGCTAAGCAGTCCAACGGGAATGAGTCAGAAAATAAGCACAAGACCTATTTCCTGACCAGAGAATAATTAACGCCCGAAACATTCACCAAGTTCACAATTTCAATTGGCTAGATTCTCCGTAAGCTCAAGAATGAACCTTGGTTCGAACTGCCACCACCCATGAAGGCAGTCTTACCAGGCTGGATTAGACAAAGTATTGCGTGTTCCATCAAAGACCAGGCCACACTATAACGACTGCCTGAAGTGGAAGCAGTACCTCGAGAAGATGACGAATGAGGATCAGTGCGATGAGTATCTCAACAAGTCAGTGGCACGGCTTACGCAAGCAGTGAAAGCCAACATTGAACCCCCTTGAAGACGATGCAGATTAATGGCATACTTGTTAGGTCTGAGCACCTTCAGGCCACAGGCAGCTCTAGAAGAACGAAGCATTCAGCTTTCATTAAGTAATGATACGAATGAGTGTTTGGGGAAATCTCCCATCACCCCCCTGAATCCCGTTAACGCTTATCCATATAAGTTCAAGGTCTTAAGCACATCGATGAACAAGACCTCATAGGCCGAGAATTAACTAGTTGTTATGCAGTTTTTACCTTTCAACATAGTTGATACATTACTTTATCCTCAATGAAGACCCAAAAAGTTATTGATAAGCTTGGCTCAACTACTGTCTACTACAACTACCCAAACCATCATCTGCTTAAGCTCTTTAGTGCGAGAAGGTAAATTAATTTCTGACACCTATCTGGGTCTGCTCTCCAATGTGAAAAGGTAAACTAATTCTTTAACACCCATATGGTAGGCTTTCTAGTGCACGATGGTAAACTAATACCCTAACACCCATATTAGTAAGCTCTCCAGTGCAAGAGGGTAAACTAATTCTCCGACACCCATCTGTGTTTGCTCTTCAGTGCGAGAGGGTAAACTAATTCAAATGGGTGTCGAGGAATTAGTTTACCATCTTGCACTAGAGAGCAAACCCAAATGGGTGTAGGGAAATTAGTGTACCCTCTCGCATTGGAGAGCAAACTCAGATGGGTGTCGGGGAATTAGTTTACTCTCTCACACTGGAAAGTAGACCAAGATGGGTGTTGAGGAATTAGTTTACATTCTCGCACAGGAGAACTTACCAATATAGGTGTCGAGGATTAGTTTACCCTCTCACATTGGAGAGGTCACCTAGATAGGTGTCGAGGAATTAGTTTACCTTTTCACACTGGAGAGTAGACCTTGATAGGTGTCGCAAAATTAGTTTACCCTCTCGTACTAGAATGCATGAAAGTTGTTGTTATGAGTGCAACCGAGGAAAGTTGGACTGCTGAACATCTGAAATTATCCTTAGCCTATGAAGTCTTGTTCGTCGATCTGCTTAAGACTTCAAATATGCTATATTCTTGAGTTCTTCGTTGGTTTGAAATATGACTTGTTGTGTTGTGGTGAGATTAAAGTATGGGTAATCGACCGCAAGACCGGTCATCAAGTTAGATTATTGTGTACTCGAATTCTGAGAAAGAATCACGGTAACATTTCGTATAACCAATGAAAATTATTGGTATTAATAATAATTGTGGCTGGAAATTCTAATATTTATGAAGATCATGGTGATTATTTATTTTCGGACATGAATGGAATCATAGACTGAGGTTTTGGTTTGTTCAAAATTAATGGAATTGTGGAATTGGTTTCATTGTTGGAAATGTGCCCTAAAACCAATCATATGATGATACTTTACGGACATTTCACAAAGTTAGACTAATGTAGTTTAAATGTAAAGGGCAAAGATTACTGTTTGAGCCGTCTCATATAAATGTTATATGCTTAAACGATAAGTCCAAGGAATATGTGATTGGAAGAATGCGATCTAAAGAAGTTAGATTCATGAGACCATTCTTTCGTTGACACATCCTAAACGTTCCTGATCATAGGATTGTCAATTGGGCATTGACAGTCCATTAAGATCAGTACGTGCTATGTCTTCTCTCAGGGAGAGTGACTAGTCTCAAGTCATTGGTG